AATACTTTTAAATAATAAAAACAATTATAAGTTATAAAATTAAAACTTATTCATATCGCATTTTATCTTGTTTACAACTATTAACAAAATAATCTTATATTTACTATTATTATTTTTAATAAGAGTTTTTATATTTTTTTTTATTTTATAGAAATTGATAATTATGATTGATATTATTATGTGACATGATGTTCTAATATTAATGAAAACTTTATACTAAATTATTTACTGTGACAGATTAAAATGAAATTGGATTAAAATGAAATTTTCTCTATTCTAATATGAAAATTTTATATTTTTTTGAAGGCAATTTTCTAGATTTTTTTTGGAATTTGGATTAGAATTTAGGATAATTTTTGTTAATAGAAGAGTATATATGGATTTCAGAGGTATTAAAAGAGGATTCAAAAAGATCTCAATTTCATTTTAATCCAATTTCATTTTAATCTGCCACAATTAATATTACATAATATAATATTATAATATAATAGAAGCTTTAAACTAAATTATTTACTATTAAGAAGAATATAGGGATCTTCAAGATTTTCTTATGGTGAGTTTTCTTATGATAATACATGGATATTCTATACTTTGGTATCTTAATTACATGATAGGATTTAGATGTATCTTGTATAAACACATCAGTTATCTCTGGATAATTTCATTGGATAATAATATTGGTCAAGAGGTTTAGCTTTTATGTAATATCTTTTTATTAAAGAAATACTTTATAATGAGCCTAATAGAAACTAAAAGAAGTGTTTATGTGAGTTAGCAATTCACAAGTGGAATCCCCAGTGAGTCTAGTTCATATTGAGAACTAGAAATAAATGCATCACTCAACTATGGTTTACAGAGCAGATATAACCATCTATGAGAAGCTCAATTATGAATTACAGAGCAATATCAAATATCAGTTGGCCAGGCTGATATTCACTCACCTATAATCTTAAACAATTGAATTTATTTTAGTTTTTCAATAATTAAGAAACTCAAGAAGGGTTATTTGTACACGCAAATAAAGAACGCGACTATGTATTCAGGTGACAAGCCATTAGTCACACTAGCCCACTTGATAAGTGGCACCACCAATTTCGTCTAATCGGAGATTGGGATCTCCTCTGACCAATAGAAACTTCGGGTGAAAATTAGTAAATGCATTTTTTGCATAGGACAAAGTAAAAAAAAGTCTAAACCAAATTCCGTAATATGCCGAATACCCTTCTGTACAATTCATGGCCTTCAATTTGTGGGTAGAATGTAACGTGTCTCCTCATTGGTAGCTTTTTGTCAAACAGGCTAATTTTGGTAAGCACAGATTAATTCGGGTTTCCACGAACCATTTCCATATAAACGCCACTTAACTAGTTTCATCAAAATTGTGTATCATCAAATGTATTTTTAGTCGGTTAGCTTGTATGCAAGCAAAAAAGGCTATGATCAGCTTACTTTGTGACTCCATACTCTATTAAAAGAATTTAGAATACGAGTATGATGTACAAGATTTTCATTGTCTTAAGAGAATTAAGTATCCATTGTTAAATTTCTATTTATGTATAATGTAACCATATGCATTACAAAAAAAATTTTTTTAAAAATGGTATCGTAATAATGAAGTACAATTATTAATTCAATTTTAAAAGGTTACATTAGAATAAACATTCAAAAAAACAACCTTCTAATATAAAATATCGTACTTGAATATATTATAGTACGATAATTAGTATAACTACTATTTAGTTCCGGAGTTTTGATAATATTATATAAACCTTTTGACGGTAACACTAATTCAGGCGTAGTGTATAATAATCATTATGAAATAAACAACAAACCTGATCGTTCAAATATGAAACAAAAGAGGTCATTGTCTTTTATTACATGCCATTACGCCACAATTTTATATAAATAACAAAAATTCTTCTTCTTCAAATGGCAAATACCAATTTCCCTTTTCTATCAGACAAGACCATGTTGGTAAACATAATCAAATGTCTCGTCTGTTTGTTTGGTTTATTTCCGGTCGTATTGGCAAGAATGCCAATTTATGATATGTTTCACTTTGACATAAAAGAATATCTTCCCTATATCGTTGTCACCATTGTTCTTTTATTTGCCTTTATTCCAATACCTCAACTTAAAAGGTTGAGAACTGAAATCGCTTTTACCCTTGGCATATTTACATCATTTATTTTTCCATCGATATTTTTTTATATAACACAAGGCTTGAATAAGCTTACCATATTTTCCATAATTATTGGTAGTTTACTCATTATATATATTTTAACAATAAGAATAATTGAAATAACAACAAATAATCCGTTATTAAAAAATCATGTCACTTTATTCTTTTCAATTCTCATACCTTTCATTTTGATGCCATCCATATTATACGCAACATTTGGCATCGACAAGGTGACCATTGTCGCATCGGCTTTCACCTGGTCCATACTTATTACAATCTTGTTAACGTTAATATTTAAATCGGCCGTCGACATAATTCTTCCAGTATCAATCATGTTAATTTTTGCGATTTTTCCACCGTTATTCTTTTTTGCGACGGACAGTTTTAATGAGATATCAATTTCCTATTTAATATCTATAGAAACTATTGTTCTCACAATCGCATTAATGCCTCTTTTAAATGCTTGCTTTCCGAATTCTTTTATTTCTTTTTGTATATTTACAATACTATTTCTATTGATATTCGCGTCATTTATTAGTGGTTTAGTATTTTCCATAAAGTCTTTGATTAAGTATGGAATTCACTTTCACTTTTCTATTCTTGCTATCGTAATTGCAATTGCTAGCGAGGTAGTGGTTTGTATTTTGTCTTGTACACAGGATACAGTGGTCGGAAAAATATTGGGTTGCATTTTGAGCGGATTTGGTTTCTATTTTGTCTTTTATAATTTGCAAGCACAAATCAATCCAATTTCACTTTTACTTTTCTGGGCAGATTTATGGACTATATTATCTGTAATTTATGTAATCATTGAAAAACATATTAATGGAGATGATAATAGTAATCATGGAGATGATAGTGATGTAGAATTTGATCTTCAGGATTACTTACCTTAGCATACACACGAGCTTTGTGTGCCAGATCATAAAAAACACTTTTTAATTCATATTAATGGCCGCATTTTTTGTACAAATTTATAATAAATTTAGTTAATTTTGGCATCAATATATTGACTATTTTTTGGATTAATCAACAAGATAAAAAGTATATTATAAAATCTATATATTAGCTGAGCGATGTCGTTTTCATGTGATCTACTTAGATTTGATTAGTTAGTATTTTAGTTATTGGATCAGGTGAAAACGACTCCGCCCCCAAAAAATAATCATAATATCTGGTCTGATTGGTTAATAATTTTCCGGGTTTTTAATTATTCTGATTGTAAACTGTGCGCATTTCCGGCCAATCAATTATCATCGTATATACCCCTTTTATCAATTATCAATGGTTATTTACCTCCCACGCTTCTTTTTTCGCCGAAAGCACATATTCTTCTATTCGTCTTGAGTAGGACATCGGCTCTAGGAATTTTATTTCTAACGGCTCGTCGGATAGTGTTGCTTTTGTCCTTTTCCCCGTATATTAGTTAATACACCGTTTTTCGTCTAATATTAGTAATGTCGCAAGAGAAATCAGTTAAGAAATTATCGCGTCACGCCCGTTATAATAAAAAACGTAGGCTTGAAAAAGAAAAAAATTCGACCTTACTAGCAGATAACATTAAGCCCACTCTAACAACGACAAACATTATCTTCAACCCGAACAAAGTATATAATTTCGGTTTTTTTATTTAAGTGAACGTAATTAAGTGGTTATTTTACGTGATAGAGCAACTACCTAAGTTTCTTGTTACGAGTATACTTAGTTGGTAATCCATCTTACCTTAATTCACTTGGGAGTATTAAATAATTCGAATGCCATATCAAAAACCACCGAAGCTGTAAACCACTATTATTTTCACACCTTAAATAACCCTTCCCACCGTAGTGAGGAATTTTGGACCAATTTAATCTAACATTTCGGTGTATACGCGCGAAATAACCTCTTACCTTACACAAGTTCCAACACCGCAAGTGCCCACAACGTCGAGCATCAAGAATGTGTCGATGCGTTACTTCGTGATTTGGAACCGTTGTCAACCTCTATTAATGAATTCGTCCGAGAATATTATGGGGAGTTATATGGGAAATTAGAAAAGTTATCGTGGGGGGGGGGGGTATTTGGGCCAAAGCCATTCGGAGCCTTCCCGATGATCGCGATTAATTTCAATACAATAAGCGATTATCACTGGGACGAACACGACGAACCAAATTCTTTGTGTTGTCTGGTGGCATTGGATGATTTTGAGGGGGGTGAACTATGCTTCTCGCAACTCCAGATTATCATTCCACTTCGCCCAGGACAAGTCATGGCATTTTCTTCCCGTCTTCTACTCCATGGAAATTTTTCTGTAACTCGAGGGATCCGGCACAGTATCGTTTATTTCGTTCATAGTATGTTCTTTCACCATCTGCGCAATTTTACCGAGATTTACAAAGATCGAAAGGATGGAATTGAGGAGATGTGAATGGATTGGTTGTTCCTATAATCCCTCAACAAGACCTAAACGATGCTCATAGATTAAATCGCCAGGTTAGACTCGACAAACCGAAAGCCAATCAGATTCGAGTTCCACCGTCATCCACCGATTGTCGGAGAGGGCATATCGGTAGGTATTTCACTACGCGATGTTGACTTATACCTGAGATAAAAACGATATTAATAAAATCGATTATTTTTTCTTTAGAATTGAGACGAGCACGACTGGGTTTAAAGGCCGAGGATCCTCTTCCAGATGGGTTGTAATTATATAGCAGAAATTATCATGAGCTATATCAGTTTTAAAATGTATATATAACAGATGATCACTGGTTAAATAAAGATTTTCGTGTAAATATATCAATAAATATGAGTTTACAGCCCATCAGGGGCTTTTTATTGGCGGATTTAAAACGCATGACATTGCTCCCCTGAGGCCCATTTATAACGTGATGTGGCTTCGTGGTTATAATTAATTTTGTGGCTATATATAAGATCAGATGCGTTAATATGTGTCAAAGATACTACATGTAGCCTCTCTATAAAGCTTGATAATTAACTTTACCTTTTACTTTACGCTTTAGAATGAGGCGTTTCCTTATTACAGAACAATGGCGGCGCTTCGAGCCTACCGCTTCGATCCTATACATATCCTCTGTTGCTGAAGTATCTGAATCAGAAGTGTTTGAATCGAAGGTTATATCGGAGTCAGAAGTAAGGTTGTATACATGATTAATTATTTTATCAACAGATACTATAAAAGATCGTTGATACGTAGGGTTGGTCTGATCCGAGCATCTTCTGCATCTGTTACATCTCCGGTAAATATTTCTGAAGCTCATCATCATCATACTTGCCTCCATAGAACCAATTATTACCAAGCAAAATATGATTAGATATTTCAGAATTATATTTTACTATGAGTACTTCGATCGGAATTGTGATAGATTTATTGTTGCTAAGTCGAGCATTGTTTTTATGTTAGAGGTAAATGTTAGTGGAATTATAGCCCATCCAATCGAGTATGTGGTCATCTCTCTGAAGAATTTGCTATCTTTATCTTTGGAGCTTATCTTCCTAGCGATTTTTCCTCCAATCTTCTTGAGGAGTTTATCAGGCACATCAAGGCTCCAAGAAATCCTGGTCCAAGATGACAATTAATTTTTGTGATTCTACTTTAGCTTTGGCTATTTTCATGATAAGTTATATTATGTGATATATATTCAATTGAAAAAATAACCAATAATTTACCGGATTTAAACTTGGTCACATCTATGGAGCGTGTGAATCATATTTTTCAGATCCTGGATTACTCTTTTAATTTCTTTACCGAAATCATCATCTAATCTTCTGGGTGATGAAGGTGCAGGAGATATATTGCGAAATATTCTGTGACATCTCTTTCGGTGTATATTATTTTGGGCATCTGGGAGATATTTCTTTAATATATTCATAACTTCCTCTAGAGTTAGATCAAATTTAGACTCCATTGAATTAGATGAGTTATTTTTAGTGGAGCTGGCTTTGTTAAAATCTTCATCAATTAATAGGATATTCATATCATCTATTACGATTTTATTATAATGTTCATAGGTTCTGGAAGAAAATCCAAAGATAATTTTTGCTTCTCACATTTATAATCATTCCCATCCCAGCATCAATCTAAGCATTTTATTTTTTTATATATCATATCTTTATCAGGTATATCTTCTAATTCATAATCTTCTTCAAGCTTATTAAACAAGCTCTTGCTAATAGTATCAGATTTAGATGTTATATCAATTAATACTTTTATTAGAATTTTTTCTTTGACAAGAATATTTATACACATGTCAAATATTATTTAATAATATATAATATAATCAAAAAAATAACTAATATTTTGATAATTAATTTTTAGAAATAAATACTATGGATATTATATATTACTTTGAATTTTCTAGATATTCTTAATTATATTTAATCTTACTGTTACGGCAAATCGGTAAGTGGGTTTTCACTTTGATTCACCCTAACGATATAGAGTTGGGAGAGACTAAACTAATAAAAGGTAAAGAGAGGGAAATTAGACTATAACTTTCAATAATGACAAAGATTTCTAAGACCTGTGCCAATATCTACGGATATTGTCTCAATAAAG